CACACTGTCACCGTAGAAACAAAACAGGAAAACAATTTTGTTGTTGGTCTAGACTCCTTTGGGAAGACACTGTCATTTCTGAGACTGTTTTAAAGTTGAACTACACTCTGACAAGTGATCTATTTTTAATTGATCTTTATGAAAGGTGAACAACACACATGACAAAGTGGGAATGACACCACTCCACGACAGTGGTTAGAGGGCACCACATACACTACTACCATTGCTTCAACGGCAACCTTCCATTTGCTAGTTCTTTGTGGGAAAAGAAGCCTATTCCCTTTTGGGAATTCCTTGAGTATTTAATGACATTATTTAAATCCAATGAAAAGGCTGTCTCCTGATTCATGCAACATTTTCTGTTAAGGGCCTTCATGTGCCTTTATTTCCCTAGGACAGCATCCACCTGTTCCCAATGAGGTTCTCCTGTGATTTATCTAGTCTACAAAGTCAGAGAAGTCTGTTTTGCATAAGATATTTCTTATTTATTGTTTCTTTGCTTGTTTTAAAGTAGACTCACTTAATACACTTTGGGGAATGCCAAAAGGGAAAAAGAAATACTCCAGCTCCCTGCCTTCATGACTGAGCAGATGTCAGAAATCAACTCTAGAGAGAAGCCAGTCCCATACAAACAGGGTTTCAGAGTGGCAGCCATACTTTATATCCAACCGCGTTATCAGTCTGTCAGATAATGCCATCCCAAAACTAAAGAATTTAACAGGTTGGTTCCCCCAAGGGTTCACCTTAGAGGAAAACAAAGACATCCACAAACTCTGCCACGGATATGTTTGGAGACGCTGGAAGTGGTTAGAACCACTAATGAATAACACATTTGGACTGTAAAAAGCATTAGAAAACCAAAGCCAACCTTCTCTTTCTTTGCTAAGACCAAAACTGAAAACTACAGAATCCTAGTGCAATGCTCAAGGTCACATAACCGGCTGCTGACAGACATGAGCATGACTGGAGGTAATGAGTATTTTAAAGTGTTAGAATTTGCCCATTCTGGGAATGAATGTCTTCTTGATGTATGAGCTTTGAACATTTACCATCTTCCCCAAAGCCAAGAAAAAAAAATAGACTTGATTATATCAAAATTTCTATATGACTGTGACTTTTAATTTTCAAAATGGGAGTTCATCATGATCATCCCTGGGGTGGAGTTTTAATTATAAAGTAAAAATAAAGAGCACAGGAATATACTGTCTCAGGTTGTATCTTTCTATATTATAGGGAAAAAGAATTCTCAGTATCCAACCTTAAAATTGCCTTATCCTTTCTAAATAACTCTGGCAATCAAAACAACATTTCCTACTATGATACGATATTATTAACTTTCTATTAAAATTTGAACTAAAGTCCATTTAAGGTTTTAGAAATAAGATAAACTCAAAAAATATCTTAGGATTTAAAATCTATATGTGGCAACACTTCAGTAAAATAGCTATTCTTTTAGCTCCCTTGAACTTGGCACTATAAATCCTATATTCTGAGATGTCTGTTTGCTCCTAATGAACTCATTCTAGTTCAGAAATATACTGCCATTTGATTTGTTGCATCTGTTTATCATCAAAAGGTTAATATGGCATTCAATATTTTAATACTGATGAAAGAACCCTCTCCTTTGCGCTTAAAAGGTATAATTTTTACACTTTAATTAGTGGGACTGGAGACTCTCTGTGATATGTGACTTCTCATGTAAAGAAACTGTGATCAAATCCATTAGCTCCCTGGGCCAGATAACATGACAACCACGGACCACAACCTCCTACTGTTAACTGGCCTAAATATGCAGGCAGGAGCCCTGGAAATGAATCACACAGCCTGTAGTGTGCATCTGGTTATCAAATGTGGAAAGAGAAATTCTCTAGGTGCTTTATAGAATCAATTTCAGCTAAGCACAAACAGCCTCTACCCTAGGTGAAAGTGAATGAAAAATAAAGGGGAAAGGTAGTTTTAAATTAACTAGGAGAACTGCGTGAATTAGAGACTGAACAACGTGGCCAAGTCCTTCTGAATCCCTCCTGGAATAACAAAACACCAAGATTATAGTTAAAGGGTCTTTTTTCAGTACTTTGCTTTTCTAAGAAATATTAGCTTTATTCATGTTTATTTTTAATTTACCCTTGTATTTACCTTGTGCTAGGTGTGACTTATACGACTTCAATAAAAGGAATCATGTTTCCACAAACACTTTGCAAAATAGCCAAGAAGTTCTTCCAGAATGAAAATCTATACTACAATCTGAACTGAATAAAAGGGCACACGGCTGCATCTTCATTTGAACTGGTAATGTTATCAGTGAGGAGACTCACAGAATGGCACGGGGACGTGTCTGCAGGGGTATCTTTCTGCAGATACAGCAAATTCCCAGAGGAGGCACTCGTGTACTGCTGGCTGCAGCCAGATCTGCACTGCTAGTCAGAGGCTGGGGAGATGGTCACACACAGAACTCTGATCACATGTCTTCTTTCCTTGTCCTCAGCTCCCCTTTCTCACCCCACCAAGTAGCATCTGATTCCTTCTTCTAGAGCAAAAAAGCTTCCATCACAGCCTCTTTGCAATCAACTAATGTATATTAGTTATTTAGAAGTTTCTGAAATGCCCAGTTATAGCTGAGGCTTTGTAACCTTCCAGTCAAATAAAAAACGTGTGTGTGTGTGTGTGTGTGTGTGTGTGTGAGAGAGAGAGAGAGAGAGAGAGAGAGAGAGGCCCACCAGGATGTGATACAAGTTATTAAAGCAGTAAATGCAGAACCTTATAAAATGCAGAAAGATTGGAAACACTCAGCAATAAATATTCACAGCACAGAACAATTTATGGATTTGGTACTTTATCAAGAATTTCTGAAAGCTCTGTCAAAGAAAGCATTTGACTCGACACAAAGATGTATTCACTTCTTCACAGAGGTATGCATTCTGTGAAGTTTATATCAGCTTTGCCATCAAAAACCCCAAATGCTAAAAAAAAAAACAGAGAGCCTAGCAAAGGAATCATGCCTGAGAAAAGACGGGTGTTTGATTTTTTTAGACCAAAGAAGGCTGAAGGGCGGCCAACACAGTGCATTCTCCCCACCCTCTCATCCTCATTGGACACTAAAAACTAGAGTCAATTCAAGGGTAAATTGCAGTAATATAGATGCTTTACAAGTACCTTTCTGTAAGAAAGGGGAAGCTCTGTGGTCCTAAATCAATAAAAGTGGACTTAAGAAGAGTTGTGAACATGTCAACGGATTGTTAACACAATTCTAACGACCTATCGCAGCCTTTAATTACAATCATATCTCACGTTGTAAGTGCACAATGCCCTTTTATTAAAGCTTCGGAGCCTAACAGCTTTCAGCAGGGTGATCGGCCGTACCACTGACTACTGCTTTCTTTATTTTTCTTTCCACAGACTTTCAGCTGGCTTTTCCAGTTAAGAATTTTCATGTTGGTTTACAGCAAATTCCCCTGCCACCCCAATTCATATTAAACACTAACATACAAGCAAGCCTTCCACAAAGTTGCCAGTCTATCTGCCTCAATTATTTTACAATTTAATTCATAGTGTTCAAAGGAGCCCTAAAAATTAAAAGGATTTCCAATGCATTTCCCACTCACATATAGTACCATAAACTGGCTTGGGTAAACACAAAGTCTAGCCAGTTATTTTCTTGTTTTTGTTTTTGTTTTAAAGAAGAAGTAATTTTTACTGACTTACTTAAAGCTTCAAATGTACTTTTTACCCTAGCTCTTTTTCCCCTAACAACTTGTCTTCACAAAGACGCTCTTAAAACTATCTAGATGTTGCTGGCAATGTGTCTACTCAAACTTTCTTTTTAAAAAGCTGCTACTGTTGCCAACATTTTAAAGCATACATTTTTTTGCACTGTTAATCTGATTTTAAAAATACATTCTTGCCGTATAGCAAGGGCCATATCCTGACAATTTCCTTCCATTTTCTATGTTTTTCATATAAAGTTCTTTTAATCTCCTTCCAAATGAAAAGTGATCTGCAAACCTGTCTTGTTACAGAAATTATGAGTGGGTCTTACTTAATAATCTAATGAATAATAAACAAGATATTTCTTGCAAAGTAAAAGCTGTTTTAAGCATATTCACGGTGCCATGCGCAGATCTCCAGAGTCTTGAGATACTCAACCCTTGATGGTTTCTCAACAGTTTGCCAACTGCCTGGCACTGGGTGAACTCATTACTCACCTGAACTGTGACATCTAAGAAATCCGTAGGGTTAGCGATCTAAAACGTGCAGCCAGAGAGAACAATAGATCCTTCTCATTAATCCGTGATGGAAGGCTGGATACCAGCAACTAGCCGCGTGCCATGTGCATTCACGAAGAAGTCCACTTTGCATTCAGAGAAGCAGGGCGCCCTTTGCCCAGCGCACACCTTAAGGTACAGCCAGGCAGGGGGGAAAACAGGACGCCCAGCAGAGGCAAACCCTGCAGATGCACCGTATCAGCAGAATACCAATTAGAGGAAAAAGCGGAGTGCCCTTAGGTGAGTTCCACCTTCACGAAAAGCGGGAGATGCTCTAGCGCAGCGGCTGCAGAGGATTCCTGCACACCCAGGCACACACCCCCTTCCAGCTCAGACCTCCGCTCAGCCGGCGCGGAGTTGTGCCCCCATCAGTCCGAGGTCACGGGAGGGGCTGCCTGGCGCTCGCCTTTGAGGACAGCGGGCCGGACCGCCAGTGTCTACCGCTGCATCTGGAGGGTGTCGGGATTCGCTCCTACCCTGAACTACTTCTCGCGTGGCACCTGGCGCCCGTCAGCACCGGCTCGCCGGGCCGAGCGCACACTCCTGTCCAGCCTCGCAGAGCAACGCCTCACGGCAACACGCAGTAACTTGGGAACGCCAGGGGAAACTCCAGACGGAGGGCCCCGCCCGCTCTGCACTCCCCGATTAGTCGGTCCTGCTCCCCACTGCGCACACGGCCAGGGCGCACGGCAGCCCGGCGGTGCCTTCCCCAAGCCCCACGCAAGCAGACACACTCACCTGGGGCCTCGCTGCCCTCCCGGCGGCGTCAGGCGCCAGGGACCCGCGCGTTTGCATGCGAAAGGACGCGCGCTCAGCAGCCGGGCGCCCGCGGGCGCCTCGGGACCCGGTGCGCGCAGCTCCGCGCGCGGGGCGGGCGGGAGGCACCCGCGCGGCACCGGCTCGGGCCCGCCCGGCCCTGGCTCCTCCTCCAATCACAGCCCACTCCGCGGGGCGCCCCGGGCCCCCCGCCGCCACCCGCGGAGAGGGGGCGCCTGGGGCTCGGCCGGGAGGCTGACTCCAGGTCCGGGGCCAGCGGGAGCGCGCGTCCCGGGAGAGGGCAGGAGGGCGAGCGCAGGCCGGCAGCCGAAGCGGGTGATGCGGGACCGCGGCAAGCGCTCGCGGTTTGCGCGCTTCGAGGCCGGCCCTGGGAGCGCCTGAGACCTCCGGCCAGCCCGCAGCCCCCGCGAGGGCGCTGGGAAAAGCACGCCGCGAGGGGGCCCGACCTGCGCGCACCCTGGCGCACCTCCTTCTCCTCCTGCTCCTCGGCGCTGGCGGATTCCTTCGCAGGGTAAAGACGACGAGGGGCGACAGCCGGAGGGGCTGCAGCCGGCGCGTCTCTCCGCGAAGACCTGGCATCGCCGGGCACCGAGCCGGGAGCGAATTTCGAGAATGATTCCAGCCCCCTCCCCGTCCCGCCCCGCCCCCTCATCCCGTCGCGGAAGCCGCTGATCCATGGAGCTCCTGGGGCACGAAGGCAAAGTCGTAAAACTAATCAGAACTTACAGTTTTCTCGCGCGATGGTTTCGCCCTTGTCGTCTCCTCGGACCGCCCCGGGTCTACATGGCTTTACCCCGCCGGGCTCGCCAACGCACAACTTCCTGAGGTGTGTGATCTGCGCGCCAGCTGGGGCGGGGGACCCTGGCCAGGGGCCTGGGAGGGGTCTGCGCTGTAAGGCGGAGGCGCCGCCGCCGGCTGGGTGGAGCAGCCTGCGTTCGTCTGCTGCCTGGCGCTCCCTTCACCTGGCGGCCAGGTGTTCCCCGACGGCGTTAGGAGGTGAACAGGTCATGCCTGGGACGTTCCTGCTCCCGTTCCCCATCCTGCTGCAGGAACCTGGGCTGCTGTCACCCGCCCATCCTGAACAGCGCTGCTCGGAGACCGGTTCTGTGGGCACAGGCTGGCCCCAGTCCGCCTCTGCGATTTCTCCTTCGCGCTGCTCCCAGCCCAGCCTCTCCTGGCCCTTGGGCGGCCACGTCCCAGCCCACCCCCACCTCCTCAGTGGGAGTCTGTGCTGATCCTTATAACAAACGGTTGGGATCCCTGTTAACGTCCAGAAGGCAACCTATGCTGCTTACCCAGCCTTGCTGCTCTCCCGCTGGAACCTCCCCACGCACAGGCCTGTTTGGATGGCCATTCGTGGCCCATTTCTTTTTTTTTTTTCTTTTTTTAAATTTATTTTTAAGGAATACAAATTTTATAAGTACAACTTTAGGAATATAGAGATTTTTCCCACCATACCCGCCCTCCCACCTACACTCCCACCCCTCCTCCTCCTCTCTCTCCCCTTCCCAGTCCCATTCTCCATTAAGATTCATTTTCAATTAACTTTATACATACAAGACCAACTCTGTACTAAGTAATTATTTCAACAATTTACACACACACACAACTGAAGACTGCTTTTACAGTTAACTCTCAAAACAACTCATTGAGGACAGAGGCATATTGTGCACAGTGACTCCTATTGTTAACTTAAGTCAGTGACCACCCGACATGACATGAGCTGCCTAGGCTATGGGAGCCTTTTGAGTCCACAAACTCTGTCACTATTTGGATAAGGCCATAAGAAAAGTGGAAGTTCTCTCCTCCCTTTAGAGAACTCCTTCTTTGATGGCCACTTTTTTCCACTGGGGTCTTTCTCCCAGAGATTCTTCATGTAGAACACTTTTTGCCACACTATCTTGGCTTTCCATGCCTGGAATGCTCTCAGGAGCCTTTCAGCCAGACCAAGAAGCTTTAAGGTCTGATTATGAGGTCAGAGTGTTACTTAAAGCAATTGTCATTTTGAGTCTGCTGTGTGGACTGCTTCCCATGTTGGACATTCTCTCCTTTTTAATTCTAGTATTATTGCCAGGCACTTGATCCTATTTGTTCACTTTAGCACTTAATATGATCACCTTAACAATGAAGACGGCATTTTTACCACCAATTTTAATGGAAGTTTGTAACTGTAAAGCTGTATAGTTCTACATAGTTCTACAGACTTACTTCTAAGGGCACAGTTGAAAAACTTTTCATGGGACTCCAAATCCCAAATTGTGGCCCATTTCTAAGCAACCGTTAGCCCTGACCCAAAATCGACAGGCTTAGAATGGACATACCAGCCTTTTCCTGGATGTCACCCTTGGCGTTTCTCATATGTGCCCAGCTCCAGGTACTCAGAGAGCAAATTTTGGGTTTGTCTCTGAGCTCTTGGAAATGTTTTTCCATGTTTTTTTTTTTTTTTTTTTGGCTTGTATCATGCAATCTATAACTATTGTTCTGTGGTAAAACATTAGTATGGCGCAGACTGATACTGAGTGTCACCAAGAAACAGCCCTTGTTTGACCCATAATATGTATTTTGTTTAATAAAGAAGTGAATGCTGTATCGTACCCAGCACTTAGCACAACTCTGAACTTACCAAGCTGTCTCTGAATGGCCCATTCATCTGAGGAGGTTGGTGTTATCAATAATCTAACACTGTGCCATCATCGTTTACTAGATTGTTGTAATCAAAGTGCAACGCATAGGAAAGAAAGTGATGCTCATTTAAAAAAATTTCTGGTAATATTTTCACAAAATTTTTATTTTCTCCTCTTCTGTCCTTGCATAAATGTTGGCTACAAATTCAAGGCTTTCCTCTTGAACCAGATGTTTCCATTCTACCTGCCTTTCTTTTTAACAATTTCCTTAAAGGGTTACCTCGTCACAGATTCCAGAAAAAATTAAGTGAGCTCAGTTCTCCAGCATACTAGTCCTAGTTCTCGCACTGAAAAGGGCTTAGACCTTCCTTTGAGGAAGGTCTAGATTCCACATGATTGTAAAACAGCGCCCAGAGCACAAGAGTAGAACCTGGTTTTAACACAAGGAGGTCAAGGAATGATCTCTGAGGAGACAGCACTTGAGCTGAGTTAAACAATGGCAAGGAATGGCTTGGTGAAGATTGCTTGGAAAACTGTGGAGATGTCTGTACAGAGGGCTGGGTGTGTGTGAGAACAAAGCACTGCCCAAAGTGGGAGGAGTAGCAAAGGATTCGTTCAAGGTGATGGGCAAGGGCCAGTTCCCTCAGGGCCTTCTTGCTCCTGACAGGTGCTTATATTTTATCTTTAGGGGAAATCCCAATACTAAGAACAACAAATTAGAGCTCTACAGGTTTAATCCGTGACCCAGTTCAGGGCCAAGACATGTTTTCTTAGGACTCTTTCTTTGCTTTCCTTTCCCACAGCTTCTGGTGGATTAGAGAACTTAGTTTGTGAAGAACGTAATGGTTGAATCCCAAGGTTGTGCTATTTCTTCAAGATTCTGTGAAATGCAAACTGAGTGGTAGCTTCTCAATCTTATTTATGAATGTTAATATGAAATTTACTTAAAAACTTCAGATGTGTGTTGTAGTATTGATATTCACATATAAATACGAGAATTCTTTAGAAAGTTCGTGGAAAATGCCCATTTTCATTTCATCTATCCATAAATTTTTGGATTTCTGTGTGTATGTATATGTATCCATGTTTTTTCAAACCTGTGCAATGGAAGACTTTACATACTCGCTGTTATATACAGCACTATTTTATAAAGTTCATAACTGCTCTGACTTTGCTCTAACTTTAAAAGTCCGCTTTTCAATTTATTTTTACTTTCTTAAGATCATGTGTACAAGAACTGCATTCTGGAGAAGGAGGAATCAGAAGAAGTAGGGGAACTCTGTCACAGTTTTCCTTGATGTGAAAAGAATTTCCTAGATATTTTGTCACTCAATGCAGGTATGATGCAGGCAAGAGGTTTCTGGTTAGATTATATTATATTCAATTCTTTCCATAATGATATTACTCTAAAACTGAATATACAGCTCAGGTATCTGAGACTGAAGGGCAAACAGGAGCTTAGCATTGAGAAGCAGGCCATTTAAAAAAAACTCTGGGTCAGGGCTGGCGTTGTGCCATAACTGATAAAGCCTCTGCCTATGATGCTGGCACTGTTTCATTTACTGGCTGCTCCACTTTTGATCCAGCTCCCTCCTAATGGTGTAGAAAAAGCAAGGAAAGATGGTCCAAATGTTTGGGCCCCTGCCACACATATGGAGACCAGGATGAAGGAACTGGCTCCTGGCTTCAACTTGACCCAGCACTGGCCATTGTGGCTATCTGGTGCACTCTCTCTCTCTCTCTAACTCTGACTTTCAAAATAAATAAATACATCTTTTTTAAAAAAAAAAAAGTTAGACCATTGATGATTTCAGGTGACTGGATCTTTCAATATGTTTTATTATATGGTGCTTAAATTTTTTCTGAGGGTGTCTAAGACCCTCAGCTCCTTTCATGTAATTAAGTAAACTTCTGTCTTCTAATAAAGAAAGAACTTTAGAGATTTCAGCTCTATGTAGTCACTCACTCATTTGATGAATATTTGTCACACTCCTGCTACATGATTCCTAGAACACACAGACAGATGTGATGTAGTTCTTATCTCATAAACTTCCAATCTACTTTGAAAATAAAGAGGTATATACATCTGCATATAGCATGTGATGAGGGGGGCACAAAATATCAGGTGTAGCAACAGAGAAAAGGGCCCACATGATGAGAGAGAAAATGTTTGGAATGTGTCATGAGGACAATTTAAGATTCCACTGAGGAGTTTTAGGAAGTGCAATGGCAGTTTTATTTGTGTTAAGAGGAGGAACATCGTGGTATGCCTGTTAGGTCAGATCTGGACTGACCGAAATATTCGGGAAGTTGTTGCAGAAATCCAGGTACATTTTGCACAGGGGCAGGATCTTAGCCAATGAGGTTTGTCTAGGGCATGAGAATTGCCAACTGAAAGAATTTCCCAGGAATTCTGGTACGAAAAATCTTGATTCTTGACCTGCACTTCAGTTGTAGCACTGATGTGTAATCCTTTGTA